ACTGTGGGATACAGAGTGTTGGACTGGATGGGCCTTTGGCCTGATCCAACATTGGCATCTCTTATGTTCTTATGTTCTTATGTTCTTAAGTTTTATTCAGGTACAAGCTCTCCCTCCTCTGCGAGGACAGATCTGCCCATTCCCCCCCCCCAATAGCTAGCAAACCAAAACAGTCCAGTGGAGCTGAGCGGTGGGTGTTGCCTTCTGACACACTTCCGGTGATGTCAGGGGGTGTGGCATATGCAAATAAGTTATGCTAATGAGTTATGCTAATGAGCTCCTGAACCTCTCTTTCTACGAAATGACCCCTGTTTATACCCCACCCTTCACTACCCGAGGGAGTCTCAGGGTAGTTTACAATCTCCTTCCCTTCCCCTCCCCACAACAGACACCCTGTGAGGTAGGTGGGGCTGAGAGAGCTCTTCTGAGAACTGCTCATTAGAGGACTTGTGACAGACCCAAGGTCACACCAGCAGCTGGATGTGGAGGAGTGGGGAATCAAACCTGGTTCTCCTAGATTAGAGTCCGCGCACCTAACCACTGCACCGAACTGGCTCTCATATAAGTTCTGTCAAGTCCCTTTCTTGCACGCCCAGGGAAATGCTGATCGCCACTTTGGGGTCAGGAAGCAATCTTTCTCCAGACCAGTTTGGCCAGGGACCCTGGAGGCTTTCTGTCATTTTCTGGGCATGGAATAGGAGTCACTGGGGGGGGGGGAGGTATTTGTGAATTTCCTGCATTGTGCAGGGGGTTGGACGAGATGACCCTGGAGGTCCCAACTCTATGATTCTATGATTCTAAATCACAAGTGACACGGTTGCACGAGGAAGGGGGTTTCAGAAGAAGAGAAGAAGAAGAGGAGATTGGATTTATACCCCGTCCTTCACTACCCAAAGGAGTCTCAGAGTGGCTTACAAACTTCTTTCCAGAGCTGTCCTTGAGAGAACAGCTCGTCAGAACTACGGCTTGCCCAAGGTCATCCAGCCAGGTGCAAGTGGAGGAGTGGGGAATCAAACCCGGTTCTCCCAGATTAGAGTCCACACACTTAACCACTACACCAAACTGGCTCCACTTGAGAGAACAGCTCGTCAGAACTACGGCTTGCCCAAGGTCATCCAGCCAGGTGCAAGTGGAGGAGTGGGGAATCAAACCCGGTTCTCCCAGATTAGAGTCCACACACTTAACCACTACACCAAACTTTCAAGGCAAGGGATGAGCAGAGGCGGTTTGCCATCTCCTTCCTCTGCACAGCAACCCTGCATCTTCTTTCATGGTCTCCCATTCACATACTAATCCAGGGCCAACCCTGCTTTGCTTCTGAGATCTGATGGGACTGGGCTATGCTGGGATACCAAGGCTGGTAAAATAGGCTTACAACAATCTCTGGAAAGCCACCGTGTGCAGGACAATTTCAACGATATGTAAGCTCAAAAAGCACATCGGCACAATGTGGCAGGCACATACATTTGTATAACGCCTTGTGCATAATTAGGAGTTGCAGTGGCTCAGAGGTTAAGGCGCTGAGCTCAGTTCGAAAGCAAGAAACTGCAAGTAGATAAGTTGGTACCGCTTTGGTGGGAAGGTAACAGCATTCCGTGCACCTCAGCACTTAGTCATGCCGGCCACGTGACCATGGAAATGTCTTCGGACAGCGCTGACTCTTTGGCTTGGAAACGGAGATGAGCACCGCAACCCTAGAGTCGGATTCGACTGGCTTTC